TTTTTTGTAGACATAAGCAGGAGTCGACGGACGTAGTCATAGCAGACTTTGATGGGGTATTGTTTCATATTTCAAATCTCAGTGGAGACAAGTCGAAGCTTAGAGTAAGTGGACACACTTATTTTTTGTTTTTAAAATAACTAATTTTCTAATATTCGTCCTTTTTTGCAGATTAGTATATTGCTCAAATTTTATAAACAGTTGCAAGAGCATGGCGCAGACGAGTTGCTCAAACGAGAATATGGGGCTCATCTTATTGCACCAGAAAGCGGTTAGATTCCTGATTTTAATCGTCTTCCAACTTCTAGACGAATGTAATTATAACTGCTTGAAATTGTTTACCGCTGTTACAGGTTATAACGTATCAGTTCTCATAGATCTAGAGAAATTACCAGAGGATTGGGAGGCGTTAGTGAGAAAAGTTGCGCTGTTGAAGAGGCATTGCTTCGCCAGTGTCTTCGAGAAATACTTTGACTTCCAGGAAGAATACTGCGATTCTCCAGGCAGGCCAGTACAGAAGAGAGCTGTAATCCAATATCGAGATGAGGAAACAATGTAAGAAATCTCTACTAAAAAATTATATCACAACGTTACATGATGAAATCATAATTAAAATATGTAAATCATATAACGAATTGTTCCAAATCAGTATGTAATTTTTAAAAATGACATAATTTATCAAATCATATGATATTAGAAATAATTTACTCATTATTTGATTTTAGTTATAGTTGTCAAATTTTAAAGAATTGAATAATAGAAATAGAAGAAAAAAGAACATGTCATGTGACTTTTCAAATTATGTAATTTAAAAAAATCATATACTGATTTGGAACAATCCGTTACATGATTTACATGTTTTAATTACATGATTTCATCATGCAGCTATGTGGTGTGATTTTTTTCAGTAGGGACACATCTATGTATGTGACACAACTTAATTCTAATTTCTATTATTAACAATGAATAAGTGAAAAATTGATAAGATTAAGACAAATAACCGAAGAGAGAGCCTCATTCGATCTAAGCAAATTTTGATGTCTAATAATATTTTTGTGTAAATTTTGTAATTATTTATTTCATTATTATTAACTCTGATTAATTCTCATCAAGGTACGTGGAGGCTAAGAGCGACAGGGTCACTGTAGTGTTCAGTACAATATTCAAGGACGAGGACGATATGGTTATTGGTAAATTGTTTCTTCAAGAACTGAAAGAAGGCAGGCGCGCGAGCCACACTGCTCCGCAAGTCTTGTTCAACCATCGTGAGCCGCCGTTGGAGTTGCAAGATTCCGAGGCGGCGGTCGGAGATTGCATTGGCTACATCACATTCGGTAAAGAAAGTTTAAAGTTTATATTTATACTGTTTGCACTCAATAAATCGCGTCAACACGATGTTACAGTAAATCTTTTATTTATTTGTATCAAGAAAAATGAAAAAAAAAATCTTTGTTAAAAAATTTCAGAGATTTGAATTATTTGTTTTATATTAAAAATTTGTTTTATATTATATATAAGAAATTTTATATGTGTGCAACTTTATTAGCAAATCTTTAAATTTTAAGGAAATGTCTTGAAGATTATCTGAGAAATATTATGAATATTATTGATGTATATTTATGTAACATTTTCTACTATCTAAATATTTCAAGTTGAACATACGATAGATTTATGTAATATTAATACTTTCAAACTCAAATTGCTTTATTTTATATTTTTACAGTATTGTTTCCACGTCATACCAATCGAGAGGCTCGCGACAACACTATCGATCTGATACACATGTTTAGGAATTATTTGCACTATCATATCAAGTGCAGTAAAGTTTACATTCACTCGAGAATGCGTACCAAGACAACAGATTTTCTCAAGGTGTTAAATAGAGCGCGATCCCAATCGAAAAACACTGAGAAGAAGACTATCACGTAAGTTTTTACTCACAAAATATTACAGAATAAATTATGATAAAAATAAAAAGTTAATCTTAATTAATCCAAATATATAATAAATAATTTAGTTATATATATATAATTATTGTTTATAATTATTTAAAATCTTTTATCATAATTATATATACAATTACTTATTTAGTCATTTAATTATATATATTTTTTTATATTAATTATTAAGCTATTTATAAAAATATTCAAGAAATATTCAAGAAAAATATTCAAGAAATTATCAGATAAAATAATTGAAATGATTTCTTTAATATATATCTTTGTAAATATTTCATTGCGTTATTGCAATTTCCTCATACTAGCTTTGTTTTTAGATCTTTTAAATCAATTGCAAAATTCTTATACGTTTTAATTTAATATAATATTTTATTATCAAATTTATTGTATAATTTATTTAATTTACTTGTAATTTTTTTCAGGGGACGGACATTCATCAGGAAAGAATGAACGTACCGTAGGAGCGAAAGTATTAACACTTTTCAAGAAAAGAGGGCAAAGAATTATTGCGCGGCTAGTGTGGTCTGGAACGTCTTAAGAACGAGATTTTCTGCGAAGATATCCTTCGATTCGTGCGCTATCGACAAGCTAAGTGCTTTGAGTTTCAACCTTTCTCGAACAGTGCCCAGTATTTCGGAAAGACGTAGTTAAAAGCCGCGTTAAACGAATAAGAAAGAAAATGGAAAAGGAGAATTGGAAATTTGTGCCGGATCACACGACTATGTCTCGATTATCCAGAATGGTATATTCGAAGACGCCGGAGTTGCATCTGTGTACTAATAGTTGACAGTTACTGCTACTGCGAAAAATATCGCTCATTGCGAAACGTTTTACCGATTTTTACAGTGATTTAAGGTTCAAATACGGTGCCGCTTCAAGAAATTCGTATTCGGTTACATATTACACTAGTTATTACTTCAAACAATTTATTATATGTTACGACATTCTGAACTATGTCTATTTTGGACGAATACATCGAATACAGATTAGCGTTATGATGATATCTCTTAGATGAAATCACGAAATATTCTTAAAAAAAAAGTTAAAATATGTTTAAACTCTCAATCCATTAAGTCTGTGATTTATATTTTGTCGCGAAATTTTTAGAGCAACATCTAAATCGCCAGAAGTAACTGATATAAAAAAGATCATTGAAGGAAAGATAGATTAACAATTTCACATTGCATTTTGACTCGATAAGCGGATTGTCGAGCGGATAAATATTGTTAAATAATAGCGCAATTGTTCCCTTTTTCGATATTTTTATCGTCTACATAATGACTATACATCCGATTATTGTGAGAGATAATAAAACGACATTAACAATCTACAAAGTATACTCCCACACCTGTAGTATTGATCTGTAATCAGTAAGTGGCGTAAAATAGGGAGTGTCGGAACAGGTCGTCCAATTAAGCAACCACACCCAACTCTTCGGTATAGCCATGTATTTTTCCTGCAGTCAGAAGTATCTTGCCGAGGATTAGATGTGCGTACGGCCGATGAAACAACGTTTATGTCACTAATTAATTAAAATCGATTATTACAGAAGATCCTATCTTCTTGGATAAGATCCGACATTGCAAACAAGAGGATCATATCAGATATCTAGAGTCTTGTTTAGAATACCTTTGGAAATTTAAACGGTCATTATAGCGTGATGGAGGAGACGACGCTGTCGACGTTTTTGTCCGTGTCTTCCAGCTCGCCAAATGAAGTCTCTACGAAGGACATGGAGGAAATGGAAATGGTGCAGTGGCTGGAGAACGAGGCATTACCCGGTTTTCGCATCTGGCAGCTTGCCGGCATCGTTCTCTCCGTTCTGCTAAGCATCGTCGTCGGGTTGTGCTGTTGCATTCGCTTCCGCGTGCCCAGAACAAAGCAGGAGATCGAGGCGGATTACATTCGCAAGAAAATTACCAAGAGTTTTCGGAACGAGCTCTCGAAGATCAGCAACACGGAGATGGACGAGATGGATCTGCAGAAAGGTAACGACGCAACTACCGCTTCGGAGATTGATAGCTATGAAGACTCGGTGTGATTTAGTTAATTAAGAGGAAAGGAAAAAAAGGCAATAAATATGACAGAATATCGTAAAATTCACTAAATAAAAAAAAACGAAAAAAATAAAAAGACTTACTTCTGCGGAGAAAAGCTTGTTTGTTTGATTCATATTCTAGGGATTCCTATGAAGATAAGAGAGAAGGTATTTATTTTATGATAATTTCTTTTTGCATCAAGATAAGTAATCCGCAACTTGGCTCATATATGCTACCTTTCTTTTTCATCTTAATGTAACTTCTCAGAAGATGTTGTAGAATACTGGAAGCTTAACTTGCTCTTCGCATCGCAGCTTTGGACAGAATCCGAAACGAATACGAGAGGAATACGTCTGCGATAGCGAAGGAGTGCACGGAAATGGAACGCAGCGCTCAGCAGGGCTTTCGATCCAGATTTAACGCCGTGTTCAATGGGATGCGTGTGCGTTTCAATCAACGCGAGCACACGGAATTGAATGCCACGATCTAACGACAGTGGATCGCTCTCTAATGTCCTGTATGAAGTGATGAAAACGAACCTCTCAAAAATGTCTCGTAATTTTCTCGTCGCACAAATTTAGGGATATCAAATGAAACAGAACAAGGTGAGAAATATATAGCTGCATTTAATAGATAAAGCAGCTTTACAACAGTTGTAAGATTCTTTACTGTGATTGGCTTTGTTCTTAGTTCCTCATTGGATCTAAATGTATATAAATCAAACGTATTAAAAAACTTTACTTACACTTGCAAAGCTGCTTTCTCTGCTAAATATAGCTTATATATTTCTCTTTTCATGTATAAGTTGAAAGGAAGATAAATACACACACACACACACACACACACACACACACACACATATATATATATATATATAAATCATTCTTTTTTAAATAATTATATGTATGTTAGAATATAAAGAAAAATTTAAACTGTTAACTGAGAAAGTTAAGAACTTTGAAGAGATAAAGTCAATGTCAATTTACGTAGGGAATAAGGGCGAGCAATAAATTGCGTGACACTTTAATTGACTAAATATAATCTTTATTTCATAGATATATTTTACACAAAAATTTATTTACTTTAGCATGCAACAGTGATCTATTAGCAACGAATAGTAATGCTTCTGAAAGTAACACTCCACGATGTGTTACAGCATATTCCTTTTTTTCTCTTTCTATCCTGTCGACATCGCTATCGATTAAAATTCTTTATATTGATTAATTATTTGTACTCTCTCGTTAACCGCGTTATCTTATTATCGCACATCGATTGATCTTATTATTCATTTATGTAATAGAAGTCGTTGAATCTAATGACGTTGAATGATTAATGACAAAAAGGGACGAGAAAACTGTTATTAATATAAAATATATTATAGAAAATAACAAAGTCAAATTCGTAAAAAAGGATTGCAAAGTATAACGTTTTAAGAAAATAGTTAAATAAGATATCACATTAATACCTTGACTATTTGCAATATTCTCGCTTCGATCATGTGTGTAAATTGGCGAGTGTGCGATGTAACTCGAGAAATGATTAATTATTTCAACGATATGATCTTTCAAATAAAATAGAAGTAAGAAAAATAAGACAAGGAATTTCATGATTGTTCGAGCGACTCTGCGTGCGTATGAGGAGCTTTTAAGTAAATTAAGGAAACAGGAAAAAAGGAAACTCAATAAAAATAAAGGATACTACGGAAGATGGGTATTTACGAAAATAATTTTATTCAAATGAGAAAACATACAGAAGACGAAATTGTTGCTCTACGAAGAATCTTCGTTGTAGCAACAGTAACGTGTCACTGTCGTACGATTTCGTAAAAAAAAAAGGAAAAAGAAAATAAGATAAGGAACCATATCATCGATTAAAAGAACTATAGCGAGAAATGAGTTCATCGGTAGCTGATCTAATCTGTAACAATCGGGTCGACTTAAAAATAAAACAAATTTCCTTTACGCAGCTCGTCTCTTCTCTTTCGTTTAAAAAATGAGGATATTCGCTGACTAACGTTAAACGAAAAGAGAAAGAGATAAAAAAAAGTCGTGCGTTGATATCATTCCATCGTTCGTCGCCTGATAATTACTAAGGAATGCTTTCCATTTGATACCACAAGTCGATACGAATGTCATTTCATCTTTATGCCAAGAAAGATGAAATGCTTGCGTCAAAAATGGAAAGTACTTAAGATCTCGCATCGCGATGCACGGTCTCTCGACTAAACAGACAGCTCCTATGTACCGTTTCTGACCACGAGGACAATCGATGACGAGATCGATCCTCGCCCTTCACTCGCGTGACTCTCACGCGACATTGATGATGATACGTACAATGTAACAAAATAGACTAATGTCTTTTTATCATCTTCCAGCGTGTCTCCGAATTCTCTCGACGGAGAATTCGGAGATCAGTCATCGAGACATCCAACTATTTCTTCTCTCTATTATATTTTAATCGTAACGTAAAATTTTCTTGACGCGTTCTTCTTTTTTTATGCATATTTTCTCGGCTGTATATCTCGGCAATAATAATTGCCCGCAATGATGCTCGCCTATGATTAATGAAATTTGCCAAAGAAAACTCCATTTAATCGGGGGGGGGGGGGGGGGGATATATTATATCAGATTGTTAAAACTAATCTATAATGTGCTCCTTGCTTTTTGTTTCTCTTGGTTTTTATTTCTTATCTTGTTCTCTCTTCTCGACTTTTTAATCAATAATCGTGCTTCTTATTTTTTTCGGAGTTCATCAATTTTTATCTTGGAACAAAAACGAAGAAACAGGAGGCCAAAGAGGCAAGAGATAAAAAGCAAAGAGCAGTTGTAGATTAATTTTTAACACTTAGATTTTATAATCTCTCTTTTGAATCCTTACATTCTAGAATCTTCGAGAATGCTCGATTCTATCTGGGATCTCGCATTCCCGCGAAATAGCCTGGATCCTTAAGCTCTAACAACGTTGAAGTGTCTCCTTAAATTTTAAGAATCTTTGAATTCTTACGTTCTAGGATCTTTGCGTACTTAGATTCTAGGGTCTTTGGATAATTAGGTGTTAGATTCTAGGAACTGTGGATCCTTAGGTTCTACGGTCTTTAGATTCTTGGATTAGATTCTTATAGAGAATTTTTGCGTCTCACTTAGGTACTCTAGGATCTTGGAATATTTCTATATTTTCGAGATGAGAAGTCAGAAAAAAAAGAAGGAACAATATGGAACAGATGCAAAATACTTGTATCATCAAGCACGAGTAATCTGAAGTGGCGCAGAATTTGGATTCCAGAATGTTTGGATATTTGCTAGGTTGCTCTCTTAGAGCAGACTATGGGGACTGAATACGACGTTTTTCCCCGAGCGGATTTTCGAGAAAAAAAAATACAAGTCAAAAGCGCGTCGTATGAGAAGGAACTTTAATCGACTAGAGGATCCGACGATGTGTCAAAAATGCCGTGTGCATGTAATAAACACCGTACATTTTTTTCTTCGGCGAGTTGAAAGAAGGAGAGTGTTATTATAAAAGTTACAGCGTTTCCTGTAGAAAGTCAGTTTGGTTCCTTCGATCTTAAATTTCGCTTATTGTAATCTCGGACTGTTAAGTTATGAATCTTTGGACCTTGAATAGTCACGTCTTCGCATTAAGTTCAAATGTTCGAGAATATTTTGCGGAACCAAACCTCGTGACTACGCACGGAAATTTAAAGGACTATCACGAATACGCATGAAATGCGTTTATATTAACGAGGTATGCATCTTTTCGACAATACGGGATTTGCGAAATAACAATGGGATTCCTCTAATTGATGAAGACTGGCCGGAAGTAAGATACATAGAAATTGAGAGAAAGAGAGAGAGAAATACATATGTATATAAGCGAAGAGAGAAAGAGAGCTCGCTACGAGGTAAGAGAGGTGTGTCTCCTCCATAAAACAGGTCGGGGTGGCGTCGCGACGCACAACGTCGACAGCGACGACGATGGGCGTCTACGCGTGTCTTCACGAGATCTTGTTTCGCCACCACGAGAACTTCATCTTCGGGCTGAGATATTGGAAGCTGATGACCGAGTGCGGGATCAGAGCGAGTATCGGTAGGAAGCTGCCGCAGCTGCGGCTTTTCGGCTCCTCATCACTCTCTACCATCGTTGCCGTCGTCTTGCTGGTGGTGGTGACGGTGGTGGTCGTCGTCGTGGTGGTCGCCGCCGGTGTCGAGTACGGATAGGGTGTCGACAGGGGATTGCATGTTATGTGGATGTCCTCGGAATTCCACTTGTTCTCGCATCTCACGTCGACGTCTCTGTCCGCGAGGCTCTTCCTTTTTTGCTTCTTTTCCGCGGCGATGCTCATATATCGCACGACGCCGTTCCTTTCAGTAGTGCCATTACCATCGCCACCGACGTTGACCTCGTTCTTGAGAGACGAACTCTTAAGGGATGTTTTACGGTATACCTTTGATCGTGGAATCTTCGTCGTCAGTTGCGGGAACGACGCCGAGCGAGCCGTGGAGTCTGCGCCAATTGCTCTCTTCGAGGTTGTGTTGCTGGAAACGTCACAACCCCGAAGAGTGGGTGACTGCGGGGAGGTGGAGTGCTCTCTGTTTCCGCTCGTCGAGATCGTCATCGCGCCGCCGCGATAGCGATCACGGGGAGGAAAACAGGGAGAAACGGGAGTAGTGCGCGCTTCATTGGTCCCAGGTTGCGAGACGAATGAAGCGTCCTTGAACCCTCAGCTCGGGAAACGCGAGAAGAAGGCGCAAGTCAAATCGTAGTTTGGGAAGCGACAGTATTGCACATCGGTGCGCAACCAATCGCCGGAGCGATTCAGATAGTCGGATCGCTTCTCGAACTCGCGCGGACAATTAGCCGCCGCGGACTGCTTGTTAGCGAAGATCGTCACGACGAACTTGTCCGGCTTGAAGGTGTTCAGCACGCGACGGATTATTTCGTCGTACGATGTCTCCGAAACATTGCATTCGAACGACACGTACGAGAACTCGGGCTCTGGCGTGATGTGGATTGTCATGTAGCTGCCCTGAAAACAAATACAGAAGATAGCACCGCGGATAATGCATCATGGATAAAATAAGATTCTTCGCGTTACTCCGCTCCGTAGCGATATCGGATTACAACATTAGATATAATATTATTCTTCTAGTTACAAGTAGGGATCAGAAGAGTCTTAATTATATCTAAAATATCCTTTACTTGAATTTATATATTAGAGGAGAATGTGGTATTAAATGGTCCTTGTAAATATAATGACTTTCGTGATATCTCCGCTATTAGATCAATTCTAGTAGTTATTTATGAATCACTTGATTAGAGTAGCCGTTACGCAACACTAGTACATAATAGAAATTTATTGTAACGCATTTTTATTTTCGAGCATTTCGAAATGTTTTCAACATTTTAGCATTTAATTATATGTAAATGTGTTATTTGTTATTTAATATTTTATTTGGTTGTACCTACAATTTTTCGATTTATAGAAGGATAAACAGTAGCATGACATTTTGCTAACATAACTTCCTAAACGTGATAATATTATACAATCTGTTTTTTCAATATTTTCACATCGAAATTATTCAATAAGTCCTTTGTTGCTTTACTGTTAATCTATTGCTTACGTTATATGTTTAATAAATTTTTAATACTGAAGAAATATGTATATATATATATTTGCATACAATATTTTCTACAATATTTTATTGTTATTGTATATAATTTTTCGTAATTTTGTGACCAAGTACTTTTTTAAAGGAAACCAATTTTTAAAAAATCTGTTTTGATAGAGGTCACATTATTTTGTTCTTCTTCAACTTATTATGCAACTTATTATGTTCTTATATTTTTATAAATGTCCTAAGTAACAAATATTTCATAACTTTGAGTAGAATCGATTGAACAATACTTTGACGAATCATTAACTTCTCAAATATTAAATATCAAAATATTGATTAACAAAGAAGATATAAATGGGAGTACCACCTTTTCGTATATATACATAATATATGTTTGTGTGTGTAAATAAGTTAAAATATTCTATTTCTTATAACTATTTTTATATTAATATATATTTAAATTGATATTACTTTACGAACTATTCAACTTTTTCAATCTTACGACTAAATGATTGTTTAAAATAATTTTCAATGCTTGCAACTTACGTTCTTAGATATCCCGTTCATAGAATATCCGCATGGCTCGAACAGGAAATCATCTATGATCATAGTGGGAATGAGCTTGTCAATTCCCGACTTGACTGTCGCCTCATCGGCGGACGAGCAGACATCTTTGGTGAAGATCGACATCACGTCCGGATCTAGATGCGTCATAAGTATTTCTAGGGTTTGATCCGGCTCCGGTGGGTCCTGCAGCGACTTATCACGGATAAAGGTGTAGAGATACCAGCAGTCCGTCTCGGGCGAGCCCATGCAGTAAGCTTCGCCATCTGAAATAAGAAATAGAGCTATAGTGATGGAGCCAATGAAACTTCCGAATTCTCAAGATCACACAATGTAAAGAACAACCGACTTAAATTTGAAGGGTCTAATCACTCTAATCGCCTGTTTCCAGCTTACTTTCCTTCTGTATAATAGAATGAAAATTAATTTGAGAAGCTAATAATTACCAGAGAAGAGGGAATCCAGCAGAGCGACTTCTTCCTCGAACGTCTGATGCGGTGATATCTGGATCTCCGGTTTCTTGTAATTCTTGCGGGAGTAAAAGACGTTCTGAAAGTGACATAAATTAATGTAAGAATCATACATATTATATTTACCTATGCATATTATATTTACCTATTCTATTTTATATATATTTCATCGGCGATAATAAAATGGAAATAATGATAATTAGTGAAAATAATTAGTAATGATCATTAGTGAATGATAATTAATGATAATTAGTAATGACAATTAGTGAAAAATGATAATAAGAAAATAATAACGAAAATAATAATGAGAAATAATTGAAAACTAATACTTTTAGCAACAATGAATAAATATTAATATAAATACGCAAATTCGAAGATAGATTCTGCTTATCTACAACTTTTTTATCATTATTGCTAGCATTATTATTATAATTATTGGTACTACAATATTATCGTTATCACAATCTAAATAATATCGATCATTTCGAGAAATAACATTTCTTCAATTATCGTAGTTTATCTCTCTTTCGGCGATAACTAAGCAATCAACATCTAGAACATGATAGTCTTCGATATCTTCGAGACAAGCAGAAAAAAATTATAGCGAGGAAATACATTTAAATCGAAGGTGGGCCGATTTGAGGCTCATCATCTCACTCTAAAAAGTAATCGTACCAATCTTGCAAAAGTGTTAGATTTTCAATTCTTAAGAGTGAGATTTCAGAGTGATAATTCATTCTAAAAGTTTTAGAGACTGCATAGTCAAAACATCCTTAAATTCGTGGTTCAAATCTCGCGCCCTTCGCCGCGACCTGGAAGTGGGGGTGAATTGGACTGAAGTAAATCGCGCGTTCAAATTTCAATTTATGCGATATCTCGAGCGATAGATAAAACCGATCTGATTGTAAAGCAACGAAGGATTGGGTGAAAGAAAGGAAATTGCGACTGGATCTTTTCACCTGACACACCGCCCGGTCGGAAAGATTTGCGAAGCGCGAAACGTATTTCGGGCAGCGAGGGAGAGGTGTGCAGGTATGTCGCGGCGAGATAGGTGAGATCAATAAACCAGGAGGTGGCAGCGAAACGCGTTTCGCGCGTGGCGGAGGGACACATATAGAGCCGCGTTTCTTATCCGCGCGCACTAGGTCAAGTTATATAGCTAAACACTCCTGAGACCGAAGAATGCAGTGTCGGAGGTAAGGATCCTTTACCGCGCGGTCGTCCGCGTCGAACCTGCTATTAAGCATGTGTCCGATATAAGATAGACTTGCGAGGTTTTTTTATATTAGAGGAAACTTTAATTATAATGAAAAAAATTAATCTTTCGTGCGAAACCTTGACTCAAAATAATATATATAATTTATGTAATTTTTAATAATTTTTAATATAATATGTACAATTTTTTATGCATAAAATATGTATAATATATTTATTTATTTATATTAAAAATAAATATATATATTATCTATTATCTATTTTTATTAATTTTCAGGTACAAATTTATAAGATCTTTTTAAAATTAATTTCTAAAATTTTGCTAAAATATAAAAATATATAGCGTTGTGTTCATTTTAATTAATATATTTCTTCTATTAAAGAAGACCTTACAAATCTGCTGCTTCTAAAAATCCTGTCTGAACACGATATAATTATTTTATGCCAGCACTAATACAATGCCTTAGCTTACGTAACTATGCGTCTCTATTCTTTTGAAATGTTTAGATCTAATATTTTCGAAAAAAAAAACAAAAAACATCTAGTTAATTATTATAAAAGAAGAGAAATAAAATCTGTTTTCGCAATTATTTAATAATTTTTATTCCTGTTGTTTAAATTCTCCTCAGAATATCGTGACGTTAAATTGTGTCATAAATCTTTTATGTGCCCATGCTGTCGATCGTTGTCGTAATGTTCTTGTGATAACCTACCTCGACATCGTCGAAGCCAGTGTACTCCTCAACAAGCTCCAGAAGTGGTTCCAAGCACTGTAGAGGTGTTGTGGTACCGCAGGTCTTCAGTATAAGTCTGCGTTTGGACACAAACATGCTGCTTTCGCTGCAGAAATGATAAATAATCAATTGGTTAGCTGTTTTGCTGATAGAGCGAAGTATGTGATTTTTATTAATCTTCAGCACATTTCAGACGGTTCGTATAACTTAACTTATATAATAAACAGTAATATCCGCATGATATTTTGTAATATTTAATAGCACATTTATCCGAGACGTTAATTCGTAAAAAAATCGTTAAGCAATTCTGAAAAATCTTCTTTGCGAAAAAAAAAGAGGACGAAAGAGAAATAGCGATTAAAAAGATTAAAAAGCTTAATCGATAATTCTACTTAACTTAATAGAAAAGCGAGAAACTTTTTATTTAAATTAAATTAAATTTAGAAAATTATTTATTTTTTTATATTAAAAGCAATTTTAAAAATAAATAGCAATCAAGGATTAAAAAGTTCAATCAATAATTTTATGTAATTTAATAAAAATGCAAGAAACTTCTTATTTAAATTAAATTAGATTAAATAAATTACGTGACTATTTAATTCTTTATAAAAACAATTTGTTTCAACTCGACAAAAGGATTATTATTACGATATTTAAGAACTCGCAAGCCAATATTCTTCATGAATGGCTCGCAACATCAAAGATCTCAGTAGTTATTTAAACAGAAATAAGAAGCGTGCATTTAAGATTACAAGGGAGTGACACATATTTATCTCACTTTTTGTTTTCTTTCTGCTTTAATTGCATCGCTCGTCTGCTAATTATGATAGATAATTATGACGGTATATAACGTTCGCACTATAGCGAAGGTCAGCAAAGAATGATAGTTATTAAAAGATATTTGCTTGGCTTCTGCTGATGTTGCTATTTCTGAACTGTGTTTCACTATTAGGCAGAAAGCGAACACTCGTAGACAATTTGCGCCAATCTACAAATATCTGCCAATGTATCCGAAAATGCACGTGGATGTCCGCCGACATCGTTTATCATGTTGACATCCGATTATTCATTCATTTAAAGATAAGTATGTTTTTTAAATTA